AGAACCATCTTTTGGGAATTTATTTACTGCTTGTTTTATGATTTGTCTTTTTGACGAGTCAGTTTTTCCAACATTAGAGGGAGAAATCAAACAATTGGTAAAGGAAATTAATTAGAAAAAAATATCATTGTCTCATCTTGATCCTCGTACTAAGCAATATGAATTAGAAGTTCAAAAGATTATTCATTTACAAAGTTTAGCTAATGAATTGCCAGACGCATTTATTGACCCAAAGAGAATGACTAAGTCATATATACCAGCTCTGAATGTCCCAATAACACTTGACATCCTAGAAGGAAAAATTATAGTTGCTAATGAGTATAATGCACATATGAAGCATGGTAGACTAATTGGTTCCAAAGATAAGAATCCTCAGAAAGAAAAGGAACAATAAGAATGATGGTCAAATTGAGAAAACAATGGATTTACCAAGATCTCCAAAAGAGATTTTAGACATGACTGGGAAAATAATTTCAGAAGAAACTCAAGTACCTGAAAATGAAGAGATCTCTATTGAGTATGTCATGTTCGGTATTAAATGAAACCAAAATTAAATCATCGTCGATGATGTTTTTGCATGCAATGTAGCACTAGATGACAAAAAGGATCATGAACCAAAATCAATTGATGAATGTAGACAAAGAGATTATTGGTCAAAATGGAAAGAAGCAATTGACACTAAATTTAAATCGATGGAGAAAAGAGAAATGTTTGGACCAATAATTTGTACATCTGCAGGTGTGAAACCAGTGGGATAAAAATGGGTCTGTGTGCGTAAAAGAAATGAAAAAGGAGAAATTGTGAGATATAAAACACGTTTGGTTGTACAATAATTCTCACAAAGACTTGGAATTGATTATGAGGAGACATATTCTCCTGTGTTGGATATAACTACATTTAGGTTTTTGATAAGTCTGACTATAATAGAAATGTTATATTTACGTCTAATGGATATAATAACATCTTATTTGTATGTCCCACTAGATACTAACATTTACATGAAACTCCCTAAGGTATTTAAACTGCCAGAAGCAGTTAATTCAGGATCTTGAGAACATTATTCAATCAACTTGAATATATCCCTCTATAGACTGAAACAATCCGAACTCATGTGGTATAATCGCCTAAGCGAGTTTTTGTTAAAAAATGGTTATAAGAATGATCCATTTTGCCCATGCATTTTTATTAAGAAGTCTAGAATTGGATACATTATTATTGCAGTATATGTTGATGATTTAAATATCATTGAAACTCCTGAAGAGATTTAAACTACAGTTGATTGTTTGAAGAAATAATTCGGGATGAAAGATCTTGGAAAAATGAAATTTTGTTTGGGGTTACAAATTAAGCACCTAAAAGATAGAATCCTTGTGCATCAATCAACGTATATAGAAAAAGTGCTAAAGTGATTTTATATGGATAAGACACATCCAATGAGTACCCCAATGGTTGTAAGAGCACTTGAACCTAGTAAAAAGCTTTTCCGTCCTCGGGAAGATGATGAAGTTTTTCTTGGTCCCAAAGTATCACACCACAATGCAATTGGGGCATTAATGTTCCTGCTAGTCATACCCGACCTGATATATCATTTTATGTAAATTTGTTGGTAAGTTTTTTCTCATGCCCAACTTGAAAACATTGGATTGGAGTTAATCAAGTATTTCATTATCTCCAAGGCACAAAAAATATGGATATGTTTTTCCATAATAAATCCAAAACAACATTGATTGGTTTTGCAGATGCAAAATTTATGGCAAATCTTCATAATGGTAAATCACAAACTGTATATGTTTTTACATATGGTGGTACAACAATCTCTTGGCGCTCCATAAAGCAAACGATTGTAACAACTTCTTCTAATCATGCATAAATCTTAGCAATCCATAAAGCTAGTCGTGAATATGTATGCCTAAGATCTATAATTCAGCACATACAGAATAACTATGGTTTATCATATGAAAAAGAAGTTGTTATTGTCTTGTTTGAAGATAATGCAACATGCATTGAATAACTCAAAAGAGGGTACATAAAAGGTGATAGAACAAAACACATTGTACCTAAATTTTTATTCACTCATGACATTCAGAAGCTTAAAGAGATAAAAGTTAATCAGATCAGATCATGTGAGAATTTGACAGATTTATTCACTAAGGCATTTCCTATATTTGTGTTTCAGAAGTTAGTACACTACATTAGAATGTGTCACCTTAAAGATCTTAAGTGATGTAGCCATTAGGGGGAGTAAATACACGTTGTACTTTTTTCCCTTAACCTTGGGTTTTCCCTCTGGGTTTCCATGTAAGGTTTGTAGTGAGGCAGCATGTTAAGCGTATAATTATGTACTATTTTCTTTCACTATGTTTTTGTCCCGCTGGATTTTTCCTAGTAAAGTTTTAACGAGGCACAATTAGATAATGGGAATCCAAAGAGGAGTGTTATGAATATATTACGTGGATGTTATTATTACTCCTATTAGTTAATGTGGTTTTTTGGTGAAGCTTCCATGTCACAAAAACGTCACAAGAAGATTCATAACCCTCAATGACGCCAAGAACATGTTCGATTATTTGCTTCAATGGCAATCAATCATCTTCTAGTTCCTCTTTTGTAATGCTTTTTTTATTGTTTCCTTTTTCGATAAATGTTTCTTTGGCATCTTCAAGACTGGTTTTCTCTTCCACTTCCGATGCATCCTAGCAACCGAATTACTTCCCTCTGCCAATGCTCTACCCGTTACTGCAAAACAAAAAATAAACGATTTCATTCAGTCCTCAGCAGCATCAACATAGGTTCGTCAATATGTAAAAAGCTTATAAAGTTACCTATAAGGGATATAGTGATGGAAGCGACGAAATTCAACACTTTTTGGGTTTCTTCGCTGCAAATTGAAACAAATCGACTGCTGGAAGTGGTAGTGTCGATGAGAATGGTGGTGACAAAGCTTATGAAGTAACTAACCAGGGATCAGGGCCGTGGCTGGGGGGCGCAAATTGCGGGACCGCGTAGGCCCCCCAAAAAATAGGGCCCAAAAAAATATATAGTGGCGTTTTACCAATAAATGCCACTATAGATGGACCTATTGCGACGTTTTTTTTTTAAAAAAACGCCACTATTATTGCGACTTTATTGATAAAACGCCATTATAGATGGATTTATTACGGCGTTTGCCAAGAAAACGCCACTATTATTGCCCCAAAATCGAATATATCTAGAAAATAGGGGGCCCTTTATACGAATTTGTACAGGACCCCCAAAAACCCTGCCACGGCCCTGCCAGGGATATGGTGATGGAAGCTGTTATTATCGATGGATTTTGGCTGGGAAAAGAGGATGGTGCTAACGGTGAAGGTTGAGAAAAGAGGGACATTTTTGACATATCTTTATTTTATTTTTTAAATAATTTTTATTTATTCAAATAAAATAAATTTAAAATTGAGAGGTGACATGATGTATTTTGATTGGCCACCAGAGTATTTTTTTAACAGAGTTAACGATTTGGGGGTAAACAGAGTAACGATTTAAATTTTAGGGGGTAAAACGTCCCAAAAAATATTTTAAAGGATAACTCGGTAAAAATGATATACTTTAGGGGCAATGGTGCATTTAAGCCTATTTATTAGAGAACATTCCTCACCCTTATACATACATACATACATACATACATACATACATACATACATACATACATACATACATACATACATACATACATACATACATACATACATACATACATACATACATACATACATACATACATACATACATACATACATACATACATACATACATACATACATACATACATACATACATACATACATACATACATACATACATACATACATACATACATACATACATACCTACGTACCTACGTACCTACGTACCTACGTACCTACGTACCTACGTACCTACGTACATACGTACATACGTACATATATACATACGTACATACATACATATATACGTACATACGTACATATGTATATACATACATACATACATATGTACATACGTATATATATACATATGTACATATATACATACATACATACATATGTACATACATACATACATATGTACATACATACATACATACATACGTATGTACGTACGTACGTACGTACAAACATACATACATACGTGCATACATACATACATACATATATACGTACGTACGTACATATATACATACATACATACGTACATACGGGGTTCATGTACTAATCAAAATATAAAAAAATATATATACATCTATCTCTATTTTCTCTCCCATATCTCTCCTTTATTTTACAACATCTATTATTTTATAAATTCAAAAATATTAATAAAATAATTTCAGATCTTAATTAAAGAACATGTACAATATAAAAAATATATGTGTGATCGATTGTAATTATAAATATACGATAAATTAACTAACGATGAAAATTAATATATCTCATTAAAATAAGCATAACTGGAATATCACAATTGACATTCTTTAAATGAAAATACAATCGTGATTAGTCACTATAATTTTTCAACATTTACACTTTGTTGCAATTAATTTGTGTTCAGTGTACTTTCTTACTTTTATCTATAAATAATAAGATATTTTTTTATTTATAATTAATTTTTTAATCTATGATTTTTCTTAGTCATTGACAATACATACTCTATAGATACAATATATACAATTGCTCAAACTCAGAATTTCGAGGAAAAAACAATATTCTATTAATCCAATTAGATCTTTTAATGAATTTTTGTTGTTGTTCTAATTATAATCTCACGTAATATATATTGTTTTTTATTGAATAAATTCACATTTAATTTTTAAATAATATTATTTAAATTTGAATTATCAAACAAGAATATATTATCAGAAACTATGGGTTCAAAAGAGTATTGAAAAGGTTTTCCCTGGTCAAGTGCTGTAAGCGGTCCACTCAACGGTTTCCTTTTTCTGCAACTGACTTTATCTCAAATTGTCATTTAAAGATGACAGAAAAATAAAACTCGGCATCTAATTCCACAATTAAAGTGTTTCAAAGTCCAAATATTTTAGCTAATCATAGTTGTAAATTGTACTCTATTTGTCCACACTCGAGACTATATATCTCTGTGTCGTCCGAAGGTCGAAGATCTTTGTCCCGTTCTTCCATGCTATTCAACCGTTAAAGAAAGAAACGAACAAAGATCTCTTGTTCAATTCCAGTTTCACTCAAATGTCTTACAATCTTTCTGTTTCTGATGATTCTTCCTTCAATCGTTGTGTTCCAGAAGTGGTTTCCACTGATACGATTGATTATCAGTCACTGTTTGATCTGCCTTTCTCTTCTTTCTGCGATTCATCGAGTGGTTATAATATTCAGGAAAACACAGTTGTTGAATCCGATTGTGCAGACCAAGTGTTTGCTGATTTGCTTCCTTCGCATCAGCTTGAAAATCTCAGTCTTTGTCAAACTACCCAGTTTCCGTCTCTGTGTTTTGGTTATAATACGGAGAATGGGTACGGGAATTTGGAAGTTAAAAACGAAGAATCTATAGTGGATTTCGATTCTGCTTACGCTGATGCTCATAACAATGGCGGGAAGTTCTTGCAAAGAAGCTTTAGTAGCAACAGTTTTGAAGGGAAGTCTAGTTTTTTATTCAGACCTTTTGAATCCCTCATGGAATCGCACAGTTTCCATGGCCAAGCCTTGAGCTTGCCGGAGAACAGCTTTTTCATTAGTCAGATGAGGAAGGTGTCGAGCACCGGCGATTTAGAGGTTTGTTTCATCTCTTTGATTTAGAAATTGCAACCATTAAAAATCACCAATCTCAATATTTTTTTCAGTAAAAGAAATAGGTGAATGGTTTTTACTGGCTGGGATCCTAGATAAATTAGGAATGAAAATAAGTCCGGTTGGGTTAAAAAAAGTTATCCACTCAAATCTTATTCAAAAATTAAAATTCACTCCTTGTATTCGACTTGACCTAAGTTTAGGATGATATTCATCCGACCTAAAGTCCTACATGATATTTTAGTTTAAAACTCTTATCCGTCGTCGTCTTACTCGACTTAAATATATACATATATATATATATATATATAATTTATTTTTATTAAGTCAAATAATGATCTAATTAAAAATAAATAAAATAGAAAGGAGGATTATTGTGATTATCTATAAATATAAAAAAAAATTATAATATTAGATCGAGTTGAGTTAGATTTTTCACTCTAAACTCAAACTCGAAAAGACTCAAACACATCTTAAAAAAAGACTCAACATCAACTCAAATTTTCAAAATAAAAAAATACAACATGATTAGTTCAGGTCGAAACCCATTAAATTTGAATAAAATGAACATCATATAAATAACATGATAAACATGATTTATAAAAAAATTCTCTAATATTCGACTCTAAATTTGTATAACTGCCCTGTCTTTTTTTTTAAAGAGTATGAGAAACGTTCATAACACCCAAAGGTCAATTTCGACCCCATCAACAATGGAAGACTCCATTAACTCATCAATGGAGGAATCGCCGTTTAAAGTGGGGCGTTACAACGCTGAAGAGAGACAAGAGAAGATCTTAAAGTACAAAGCAAAGCGAAGTCAAAGGAACTTCAACAAAACAATCAAGGTTTCTTAACTTTTTGTGTTTTGTTTAAATCAAAGGGATGAATTTCGTGAGATTTACTACATTTATTCATGTTCGAAATCATTGTTTTGTTGGTACAAGTATGCATGCCGGAAAACACTAGCCGACACCCGTCCACGAATCCGTGGCAGATTCGCACGGAACGATGAAACCATAGAGAGTCCCCAACCTACATGTTCAACTAGAGATGAAGGCGAAGATAACCTATGGGTACTTATTATATCGTCGAACAAACTATAACTGATTTAATATGTTATTCATCTAAATATATTGAAGAATTTGATCATTTTTTTAATGCACTGATTTTTGTAATGTAGGTGATGTTGCATGAGGTTGACGATGAAGAAATGGGTACTAGAGGAACTCTTATGAACAGTTTGGACAGCCAATTTCAGTTTCAATTTAAACATGGCTACTTCTAAGTGGATCATTTCCTTGCATAGTTTAGTTTTTCGAATCTATGTTACTTGGATTCGAATTTAAATGTTAGATATCAATATTAAATATAAATATTTTGAGTAAAATGAAGAATAAAATATATAAAATATAAGATTAAACAATGAAGTTTATGATTTTGGGGTCATAAATAAGGAGAAAAAAGAACAACAAAAAGAGGTAATGGAACAATTTAAGTGGTGGCTGCTGCTGTAATCATTAGCTTTGGAATCTTTGTAGCCTAATTTTATCAAATAATGATGTTTGATGTATTCATCAATGGACTCGTTCTTTTCAAGTATAAACCTAGCCATTAGAGAGACGAAATTCCACGGTGGAATCTTAGAGACAAGGCAAAACCTCTTCACTATTTGATTTTGCTACAAGTCTTGCTCAATGTTTTCTTTATCAAAAATTGTATTTAATTTGAATTATACGCCACCTCAAATTATATAAAATTAAGAATTTAACCATTGAAAGCATTTGAATCTAGGGTAAAGTACCAAATGGTCTCCGACTATAGGGCTCTGCATTGTTGAGTCTATGACTATTAAAAAGTTATAAAATGATCACTTAACTATTAGATGTTACTTTTTTTATCTTCTGACTATTAAAAATTATAAAATGGTCACCCGACTATTCATATGTTTCAAACTCATCCTTTTCGATTAAGAAATTGACGTCCGTATGAACGAGACGTTAACATGTTGACTTGGATATGATAAAATCATATTTTAACGATGTCTATTGATACCGCTGTTGGTTGTTGCTTTCAAATACTGGCTCAACGACATAATGTTTCAAGCAATGTCTCGACGATATAATGTAAACGGAAAATCAATCCATAAAATACAACTCAAATGGTTATGGGATCAAATTTTATCATATCTCAGTCAACAGGTTAATGTCTAACTTAAAGAGTCATTAATTTTTTAACGTAAAAGGATAAGTTTGGAATATATATAAATAGTTGATTGATCATTTTGTAACTTTTAATAGTAAGAGAACTCAACATAGTAGCGTCTTATAATCAAGGGACCATTTTGTAACTTTTAATAGTCGTAAGACTCAACAAAACAACACCCTATAACTGGGGCACCATTTGTATACTTTACCCTCGAATATATGGCTCTTTTAAGGAAGGTATGATATTTAATCACTACACCAAGCTAAACAATTGTTAAATTTCTATTCAAATTAATATTTAACTTAAATTGTGAATAGAATTGAACAGCAATTAGGATTATTTTTCACTTTCTTTGAAAATAAAAAAAATTATTTATTAATTTTTATAAAATTAAATTAATAAATTCTTTGCTTCGTTTGAGAATAAAATAACTATTTATTAATTTTTATAAATTTAATAGTTTAGTGACTAATAGTGTAATTTACCCCCTTTTTATAAATGATATATTTTAAATATTATATTAATATTCATTTGTGAACACGAATAACATAATTAATTGGGAGGTTGTCAGTTCATTAGTGCTAGTAATCAAATTACACTTTGAAAAAGTTCAAATAATATTATATTATGATCATGTCGAGCAACCGTACCTGTTGAATTGCATCTATTACTTTGAATATATAATATGAGCAAAGGAACAAAGATTAAAGGACCGTTGGTGAAAAATATATTCAAAATTACCAGACAGGGGCGGATAGAGGTTGCAAGCCCCTAAATGGGCAAATTTCCTTTTAAGTCCCTTTACATTTCAAGGTTTTAAAGTTAAAACAACAATAAAATTACATTTCAGCCTTTAAATGATAGATTTCAATTTAATCATAATAAAGAAAAAGTTGCATAATTTTAAGCTAAAACAATGATGGAATTATATGTTGACCTTTCAAAATTTTATAATTTAATTTTGGTCGCATGTAATTTTTTTTTTAGTTTCTCCCCTATTACTAGATCATATTATAATCTCTTTTATGATAATTTGACGGTTCATGCTTAAGATTTGTTGTTACTACTCCTACTAATGAGATTTTTGAAATTTGAACCTAATTTCTCGCCTTAAAGGTAAATATATATATATATATATATATATATATATCTGATTATTGTACTCAATATTGATAGATATCGTGTTTGAAATTTTATAAAATATTTAAGAATTAAACCACAAATAAAGGGATTTACTATTTTACCAACTTCAATCAAAATCAACACAACTTGTTGGGCAACTTGCAAACTTTACTTACTAAATTAACATTGAAAAATGAATTTACTAGTGATTGGTTACCACAAAGGGAAATCCCCCATTGGAATATGTTCAAACCTATATTAGCAGGCCTTTTTTAAGGGCTATATGCTTTGATTGTTATTAAAATTAATAATGGGGAACATTTGGTCTAAATGTTTTTATACCCTTTGTTGGTCAAAAAATATTTTACTACTTCCAAGCAATGAGTGACAATAATGATAATACCCAAGGCGAAATTATTACATTTATTTTTGTAAACACAATCATTTTTTTGGACATATCACATTTGCATTGATATATATTAAATTCTATTTCTACATATCTCTAGGGTTATTGTTTGATATATAATTAATGAAAAAATAATCCTTCTTAGGTCATAGATTACCTTCTATCTGGGAATCTAGTGAGAGAAGCTCCCCCTTCTCTCTAAAAATGTAGGCGTTTTTCAAAAATTTCATTCTCCTTCCCTTTTATTTCCTTTAGATGGCGAGTCAGGTGAGAAGATCTGTTGGGAAAAGTTGCATTACAGTGATAATTTTCAATATTCCAGAGTGTCTTCATCATCAAGGTCTTTGGTTATTGTTTGATAAATAAGTCGAGGTGGTCGACTCTTTCATTCCCATCAAAAGAAGCAAGGGAGGAAGCAGGTTCGGTTTTGTCCGCTTCTCTAGATTAGAGGACGCGAGGAGGGCTATCTTCTGTGCTGATAGATCTTGGATTCAAGGTAATAAGGTTAGAGTTTTCATGGCGAGATTTCAACCTCGTGATGTTTTCTGGAAGAGAAAGGTTACTGGTTCAAATTCAGCTATGGTCAAGAGTAGAGAGGAGGATGTCAAAGAATCTCCCATTATCGGTGTAGTTGACGAGGATAAACAAATTACTCTTAGAGATAGTTTGGTTGGTGCAGAAAATTTATAAAAATGAAAGAGTTAGCTGCTGTTATGCACAAGGAAGGCATTTTAGGCCCGAAAATTATGAGGTTAAGTGGTTTAGCAATTCTGATCATTTTTTAAGATGAAGATAGTAGAGACTTTGCTCTAAAAAATTAGATTGGAGCGTTGAATAAATGCTTTGATAAGGTGGAATTGTGGTCGGAAAATTTTCAGTGTAGTAGCCGATGGGCATGGTTATCGTGCAGAGGGATTCCACCTTTTGTGTGGAGCCATTCTACTTTCAGAAACATTGCAGGAAAATGGGGAACTCTTATCTCAATTGACGCAGGGACCTTAAATCCTGGCTCGTTTGATAGGGCCTTATTTCAGATCATTACGAACTGTAAAGTTCGAGTGGAAGAATCCTGTGTTTTGAAAGTCGGGGATCAGTCTTTTACAGTATTTGTTTCCGAGATTGAACCTTGCTTTAGCCCTGATTCCGTCTGGGAGGATTCGTCTGTATTAGAAACGGCAGTTGCTTCACCGCTACCCACGGAGGGGGACCTCGATGGTGTCTCGCCATTAAAGTCTTCCGAGTTGGCTGTATGTATTGGAACGTTTTCACGAGTTAATTATGATTCCACTAATATTAAGGAAGTTCAGCTAGAAAATCAAGCGTCTATTGATGGCACACATACTGGGGGCGGTATGTGTGGTTCAGGTGAGGTATGGGCTGTTAAAGCTGTGTCCCCGACAGTCAGTAATGGGGTAGTTGCGCATGGGACTGATATCAATTCTAAAAGGTTCTCGAAGACCAAGAAGGTGGATTTGGTTAGTGGGGCAGCTGTGCAGGAGCATGTCTATCAAAGTGGTGGTATTTTTCAAGCTTTGGAGAGTGTTAGTGGGGTACACGAGGAAGTGCTGGTTCAAAATAAGAGAGGGGCAGAAGAAGACAACAGGAAAAGGTGTGAACCTGCATGTGCTTTCTGAGGAATATTCTTTTCATTCCCCCATGTTGGATGGTCGTGTTTCTATGTTGGATGGGCGTCAGAAACAAAAAGCTATGGAGGAGAGGAAGGCAATTTTTAGTTCTCTCAGAAATTTTCAAGTCAAATTTGCGGCTCAAAATAGGAAGCCTCGTTAAAGTCGAAGTATGAGTCCTCAGAGGAAGGTTAAGGCAGTGGGTGTTTTGGAACTTTCAGGTGATTCATTTCTTTTATCTGTATGAAGTTGGTTTTTCGGATGGTTTCTGTCGACTAGTCGAGCAAGAAGAGGCATTAAGGTGGAAGCTGATTCTTGTACTCTGTTCGTGTGGAAGTTCAGGATTTTGTCTTTTATACGGATGCTGTTTCTGGTTATCTGTTCGTGCGGAAGTTCAGGATTTTGTTTTTGATTTTGTTTGCTATGGATTGAGTTAGCTGTGATATTCGGCTTCAGGCTTGTTTTGTGTTGGTTTCGGGCTATGTTCAGGTGTTAAGGCTGGTCAGCCATTTTTGTAACTGTTGTTGTAGCTTATAAGGTTTTAGCTGTGTTAGTGTTAGTGTTGTCGTGTAGGGTTTTCTCGGTTGTTTTTGGTTGTTTGCTTATGTTGGGGGTGGCGACCTGGTTGTATTCTTATGTTTTTTCTGGTTAATGAAATCTTAAGGCACTCTTTTCCTCCTTCCGCTGATTAAGGAGCTTTTTACAAGATCCTTTAATCAAGAATGAAGTTTTTAACGAGGCCTGCAATTCCTATAAAAAATAATCCTTCTTTGCTCTCTATTTCTTTTGGTCTCACCTTTTTGTAGTTCACTTAATTAAAAAATAAAACCCTAATGCATCTCCCAATCAAATAAGGGGTCATCAAATAAGAGGTCAAACATGTTTCCAAAGCTAGAGGATTAGTTTATGTTTTTTAACCTTTTTAGTGTTGTCAAATCCATGGCTTCAAA